CCTGCAGTTGTCCACCTCTTGGCCTGCAGTTGTCCACCTCTTGGCCTGCAGTTGTCCACCTCTTGGCCGGCAGTTGTCCACCTCTTGGCCCGGCAGTTGTCCACCTCTTGGCCCGGCTGGTGTCCACCTCTTGGCCGGCAGTTGTCAACCTCTTGGCCTGCAGTTGTCCACCTCTTGGCCTCCAGTTGTCCCCCTCTTGGCCGCCAGTTGTCCACCTCTTGGCCTGCAGTTGTCCACCTCTTGGCCTCCAGTTGTCCACCTCTTGGCCTCCAGTTGTCCACCTCTTGGCCTGCAGTTGTCCACCTCTTGGCCTGCAGTTGTCCACCTCTTGGCCTGCAGTTGTCCACCTCTTGGCCCGCAGTTGTCCACCTCTTGGCCGGCAGTTGTCCACCTGTTGGCCTGCAGTTGACCACCTCTTGGCCTGCAGTTGGCCACCTCTTGGCCTGCAGTTGGCCACCTCTTGACCTGCAGTTGGCCACCACTTTGACCTGCAGTTGGCCACTTCTTTGACCTGCAGTTGATCAGATGGAGATGCAACAAAGTATAAAAAAAGTAAATGTTCAGATCTGCTTTATAGTAAACCCCCTGAAAATCTTGACCCCTCTCACCCAACCTAGTCAGTCATCAAATCCCTGCAGGATAATATTTGCCTTTTCCTGGCTCAGCCGCCCCCAGCGTTAGTATTGATGATCCCAATTTTTAAAGTCAATGTTTGGTATTCAGATTGATTTTCGGGTCTTCGAGTCCTTCAGACTAAATGTCTCCTCTTAAACGCTCTTCTCCTCTTCCGTCCCCCAAAGTGCACTTTTCTCTTCCACTTGATCTTTGAAATCCTCCTGAAGATTAATGTCAGAGTCTTGGAGTGTCTTGTTGCGTCACCCCGACAGGTGTGCTCCTAAATCTGAGGCTGTGGGTCCCTCTCGTCTTTAGCGAGCTTCTCCTCCGATGTGTCAGTTTCGGTGATGTGAAGGTGATTAGCGGGAGATGTAAATGGCGCCGGCTCTCCGGAGTGTCACACCTGACTCCTTCACACTTGAAGATTTATTTCTGTTCCTCGGCAACACTTGCCGCGACGTTCTCCAAGTAAAAGGGTTTCCGATCTGTCATCTGACAGCGAGGACCGCCACAAACCTGGTTAAAAAAAAGACTTTATGACAAGCAGTCCAATCGCTTTGTACTTGGCGGGAAAACTCGCAGCATGATGAAAGTTCTCCCGCATTCATCTCTGACAGCCAGCGTTATAACGTTAGAACGAAAACCGAGATCTCTGCTGCATGCATTTGAAGTTGTAAATACAGGTGGAGGCTGCAGGTTTCTACTGTAACCATTGAGACTACCAACGTCCAGCATCTTTTAACCCATTTTCAGGAGTGCACGGTGTCTTGGGCCTCCGGCACTGTCTTGGGGTGACAACCCCCCTCGGCCTCTCGGCTTACGGGGGGTTGTCACCATGGTGCACTGCTTGTATGGTAAGATGCAGATGATGCCATCATATCAAAGCTTTCTGCATCATTGAGGACCAACCTGTGCCAATTAAGAGGACCCTGAGTCACATGACTGGTCTGAAGATTTCTAAAAAAGGTTGGTGGGAATGTGAACAGAATAGTAAAATAACATGGGCATGTATGTACAGGTTCCATATCTTTCTGGTTCATACCTCCAGGGCCCCTGATCTCCTCTAGGCTATTGAGACCATAGGCACGCTCTTCTCCAATCCCATAACTCCTTACTGAGGAAGGAGAACCGTATGGGGGGGGGGGCATTGCTCTGACATTCCCTTCTGTATGCATACGTTTTGCATAGGTTTTAGCTTGAGCTCATGAGCTCTGTGAACATTTTATCAACCGGTACAAAGTACAAACTCGGTGGCGCTGGACCCTCATACCTTCATTTCCCTATCCTTATATAAATGGGTCCTGTGTGAAATAGGACCCCCACACCTCCTTGTCCCTATTCGAGTGTAAGCTTTATGGAGCAGGACCCTCGTACCTCCTGTTCCCTATTCGAGTGTTAGCTCTGTAGTGCAGTACCGTCTTACCTCCTATTCCATCGAGCTTTTGCTCTTATAGTGAGCAGCGCCCCCATGCCTCCTGATCCTTATTAGAACCCTCATGCCTCTTGTTCCCTATTAGAGTTTAAGCTCTGTAAAGCTGGACCCCCCCATACCATCAGTTCCCTAATAGTGTAAACTCTGCGGTGCAGGACCCTCATACCTCTTGCTCCCTATTAGAATGTAAGCTCTGTGGTGCAGGGTTCTCATACCTCCTGTTACCTATCGGGGTGTAAGCTCTATTGAGCAGGACCCCCTTACCTCCTGTTCCCTATTATAGTGTTATCTCTGTGATATATGACCCTCATACCTCCTGGTCCCTATTCGAGTGTTATCTCTGTGATATATGACCTCCTGGTCCCTATTCGAGTGTAAACTTTATGGAGCAGGACTGTCATACCTTCTGTTCCCTATTAGAACCCTCATGCCTCATGTTCCCCATTATAGTGTAAGCTCTGTGGTACAGAACCCTCATACCTCCTGTTGCCTATTATAGTGTTATATTTCTGATATAGGACCCTCATTACCTCCTGTTCCTTATTAGAATGTAAGCTCTGTGGTGTAGGACCCTCATACCTCCTGGTCTCTGTTAGAGTGTAAGCTCTGTGGCACAGGACCCTCCTCCCTCTTTAGGATCCTGTAGTCCCGACAGCCCGGAGATCTGTCTGTAGCCGATGACCATGCGTTAGGTGTGAGCTTCCTGCTGATCTCCGGATGATCCTGGTGGACTCTTCTCCAACATTCCGGATGTTTTTCGGTCTCTTCTCCTAATCTGACATATTCCGTGAACGCGGCGAGTTGAAAGGACGGCGAGCGCCGGTTGTTGCGCCGGTTGTTTATCGTCGTGGATTTCATTAGCATATTTAATTTCTGTGTCTGCGGCTTAGAAGTGAAATCCCCCCTGAGGAGGCGATGAGAACTGCGTCTGATCCCCCGCCGCTGTCAGAACGGCGGGCTTTTAGAAACCAAAGTGATTATGTGCTGATGATGGGAGTCACGGGGCCCGGGGCCCGCTGGGGTGGCAGGGGTTCTTCTAAAAACAAAAAGTAGAGGGAGAGTTCGGATACAGATGTCGTGTGGAACTTTAATGTTGCGGATGTTGGCTTCTGCACAATCTGCGTACAGTCGATACATTGTATACTAAGTTACAAGAACAAAAGGTTGACCACGCTGCTCCTCCGAAGATACAGAGCAGTGAGTGAGCGTTGTCACCCTGGGACAGGAAGTGTGTTACTGGCAGGATCAACAGGTGAACAAAAAAAATAAAACTAATGCAGCCGCCTCATCTAAGGATTGGTAAACTGCAATGGCTTTCCTTGTTTTCTTTTTAACTGTCCATGTTCCTAACACTCCCATTCACCACCCCACTGGCCATTGGCAGCAAAGCACCTGTGTGATTACAGTAAGCTCTTTCTGAGATTGTGATCCCTGGTTCAGTATGAGTCTACCCCGGATCCACATAGAGATGATTTATCTGCATTGTGAACACCGGGAGCTGTATTGGGTGCCGTCCCTACGTTCTCAATAGAGATGAATGATCTCTATACTGACCCACAGGAAGCACATAGTGACCCCATACATGAAGGCCAGGCACCAGCGGTCACATGACTAATCCTAGCCGCGTCTTGCACACTGTCTGATCAGTAATGAAAGTCGCCAGCGCGCACTTGTAATGTGCAAGAAACATAAGCACTTTTATTGATGCGTCATAGAGCCAACGTTTCAGGGCCACGCAGGGTCCCTTCCTCGGGGCGACATAGTGGCACACTGTCTGAACCCGGATGGCACACATCAGGCTTGCAGTTGATTTTTTTTTTTTCTCTTCTCTTACAGCGAGTGTCATAACTCCTCCGACCGGATCAAGGTTCGCGTCTGGGACGAGGACGACGATATCAAGTCTCGGGTGAAGCAGAGGCTGAAGAGGGAATCGGACGACTTTTTGGGGCAGACGATTATTGAAGTGCGGACGCTGAGCGGGGAGATGGACGTGTGGTATAATCTGGGTGCGTACCATCATACATGGGGGTATGTCCCTGGTGGGTCGCCGCGGCTCCTGGTACCCAAAGTCTCATTTATCCCATTCTTCTCTCTCTGGCCGCAACTTGGCTGCAGAGACCGTGATGGGAAGGAGCTGGTGGCTTGGTGTGGAGGGTGCTGCTGATGGCTGGTCCATGTATTATGTTTTAGAGTAGCGGTAGGCAAACTTGGCACTCCATCTGTGGTGGAACTACTACTGCCATCATCCCCCTGGGAGTCATGCGTATGACTGTCGGTATTGCAGTGCCACATGGGACTTGTATTTCTGTAGGCTCGAGTGCGGAAGGTGCCAAAGGATCTCTGAATGGATGACGTGGCTCTGTGGGAGGAGCATCAGCAGCCTACAGGTTTGAGAACCCTGCAATTTAGGTAAGTGGTGGTAGTGGGGGGGGGCATTGTCTTGCAATCTGACCATGTTTCATGTTATGCCCCAAGTATGGGTGTCACATGAAACATGGTGAGAAAGGTAAATAGCCTTTAAGCCACGGGGCCACATCAAGTCTCAAAGCTATGGCCTGGGGGCCACATCTGCCCCCCTCCAAGATTTTATCCAGCCCTCACTGACCCTCACTGGCAATGGGTGCTCAGGTGCGGCAATGGGTGCTCAGGTGCGGCAGTGGGTGCTCAGGTGCGGCAGTGGGTGCTCAGGTGCGGCAGTGGGTGCTCAGGTGCGGCAGCGGGTGCTCTGGTGCGGGTGCTCAGGTT